AATTATGAGAACGTGGGACATATTAAACATTTGCAGTTGGTAGGAAATTTCGAATTTTCCCCGGGTAGCGGCCGAAGCTTACTCTTATCGATTTTAGACCACCAAGGGATCTTTAACGTGTGCAACTTGCACTCGGGACATCGGAGATAATTCGCCCTTGTTCGAGAAGGCTAGGTGTAGATCTTTCGTACCAGAAGATCAGGGCTGTGGCTGAAAGACAGCAGTAAGAAGGAGTCAAGGAGTTGCTGCAGAAAGAGTAGGGAGCCCAGAGGAGAGGGCAAAGGGGTGAGGGAGTGGGGGCAGAAAGTGGAGACGAAAGCAGACGATAAAACATTGGTAGAGAGCAAGAAAGGATGTGAAAGGATATAATTTTGGCTAAGAAAATTGTTCGGTCGCTACCCAGATTCGATCCTTTGACTTATGATTGAGATCGAACACCTTAACTTCTAGGCTACGAGATCCCCAGTATATTACCAAAGAGTCTACATAACAAGAGGGGCCACTTCTCTCTTTGAGCCAATTAAAAAGTGTCCTCAAAATTCGGTGGCGCCCTCTTCGTAAATGCGCACCTTTTGCGAACAGAGTTACTCTACTTAAGTTTAAAAAATCAAAGTGAAACTAGCAAGTTTTTGAATAAATTTCGGAAGAACGCTTTTTTAAAATGGTTACGCAGACAAAAAACCTCTTCCGGAGGAAGGGGTGATGTTTTCTTCGTTTAATTTGACTTAAGAATGAAAGGTGGGAGGTCATTAAAATTTTAAAAACCTAAAACTAAACACTCAAAGAACCCGAACTACTGATGAACAGCAGTCGATCTGCGCACGCAAGGAGGTGCTATTCCTATTCTTCTTTCTGGAAAAAGGAAAGAGAGCTTCAAAACAGACTGCAGCGCCATCTGAAGCAAAGAGCGACCTTCATGCAGACACTTTTTTGGCTGAGTGGCCCATCTTGTTATGTACTATCTTTGATATTACTCAGATTATAAGCCTCACCGGAACTGAGACACACACGTCATATCGCATTTTATAGCAGTTGGCTTTTTTTTTTGTCTTCGTAGGTGACGGAATTTGCCTGACCTCAGCATGTGTTACAGCAGGTAATTCATTATATGAACTTGAGATCTTGGCTATAATTCCGTTATGATTATATTATGACCATCCTCAAAGTATGTCTTTCCATCAAATACTTGTACAAACGAAAAGTAGTGCTGGGATGGGAACATAAGGATAAACACCCCCCCCCCCCCCCCATCTCTCTGTCTCTCTCTGTCTCTCTCTCTCTGTCTCTCTGTCTCTCTCTCCCTCTCTGTCTGTCTGTCTGTCTCTCTCTCTCTCTCTCTCTCTCTCTCTCTCTCTCTCTCTCTCTCTCTCTCTCTCTCTCTCTCTCTCTCTCTCTCTCACACACACACACACACACACACACACTTTCTTTCTCCCCTTCCCATATCTATCTATCTATCTATCTATCTATCTATCTACCTATTTATCTATCTATCTATCTATCTATCTATCTATCTATCTATCTATCTATCTATCTATCTATCTATCTGTCCATCCATCCATCTATCTATCTATATATCTATCATCCATCCATCCATCTATCTATCTATCTATCTATCTATCTATCTATCTATCTATCTATCTATCTATCTATCTATCTCCCTCTTCTCCCGACCCGTTCTCGGACTAAGTGTCTATTACTACTTCTCCCCAAGTGAATGAGTAATTAGTGAGTCAGGCTTACAGTCCTGTCAAGAACGTGCCTTTGACACGGCGTTTAGGGGGGTGGTCACTGGGGTATGTCCTTGAGCAAGGCACAACCCTCACTCCAAAAAGGGGGCTGCTGTCGTGCAGTTATATATTTGAGCATCTATGAACACAATTCTAAAGCTTCTTCATTATTATCATCAGTATCACTATCATCATCATCTTCACCATCATCATTTTTGGTAAGCAGGGTAGGAGGGAGAGTCTTGTTTTAATTTTAGACAAAAATAAAATAACAATATAAAATGTTTAAATTATTCTTCTTCTTCACCATCATCATCATGATCATGATCAACATCGTCTTAATTGATGATCTTCTTCTTCTTCTTCTTCTTCTTCTTCTTCTTCTTCTTCTTCTTCTTCTTCTTTTTCTTCTTCTTCTTCGAAATCAGCGTTCTCTATGTTTTCGCCCTATGGCATGGCTGCACGATGGAGTTGGTTCCAGAGAATTTGCCACAAGGCAGTGTCACACTCTGTCATTGTCTGCTTGAGCCAGCGCTATCAAGCCACTGTGTTTTCAAGTGGTCATTAACTTATGTTGAAGTCTGATCTCTCGGCCTTCCTTGTCAGCTGTTTATACTAACATCTTTGATTCCCAGCGGCTCGTATAATGACAAACGTGGACGTCAACGTGCACCCTTGTGACAACTTCTACGAATTTGCCTGCGGCGGGTGGCTGCAGAATAATGAGATCTCAGAGGACAGATCTTCTTTTACAGTTTTCACTGAGCTTACAGAGGACGTGGATAGGAAAGTTAAAAGTGAGTATATCTCTCGCACTACGTTGTAAAACACATAATTTCATTAAAGCCATTATGATGTTTAATCCGCTGTGATAATGAAGTATGCATACTGCATCCTTTTCTTGATATAATTCTGTTCAGTTTAGATGCTGTCCTATGCGTATGCTGTCATAAAATGAAACAGATCCCCCTTTCCCTCCCCGCCCCCCACCCCCAGGTCTCTTTACTCTCTCTTCCTATCTGCACAATGCTTAACCAAAGAAACCTAAAAACTAGGCTGCCGTCGTAAGAGAAAACGACGAATGGTCCTGCGCAGGTAGCGAGGCAAATTTTTCAGGAGAGGCAAAAACAGTTTTCACTTTATAACTCTTCTATTTTTTACTCTTTTAAGCTGTAATTCACCAGATATCTGATTGAGGTGTTCATAAAGCAGTTTCTAAAGTTTGAATGGTTTAGGTTAAAAAGTAGCAAAGTTATTCGACATTCGTCGTTCTCCCTTACACTGCGCACCCGCAGGTGAGCCTTGCGATGTAAGCGAAAACGACGAATGGTACGGTTCGTCGTTCTCCCTTACACTCGTGAACGTTTATGGGCGGAGGCGAAGGTCAATTGTGACGCATTATTGACAGTAATGACTGTGTACTGGTTACTACAAATAAAAATAAGACGTATACAAACTAGCTATTATACGTATAAAGTTAGGTGTTTGTTATATCCCAACTGTAACTCGGTAAACGTCCTTCGTTTCCCTTCCTCTCTTGGTTAAATAGTACACAGTCAGTGTACCAATCAGATGTGCACACATTTTCAACAGCTTGATTTAATTAAAACTGTCTCATTCAGAACCAAGGTTTGGTCTCCATGAGATCTCTTTAGTGTATTCTCTTCAGAAGCGAGTTTTACTTTTATTTTCACTAATTGCAAAATTTTCCCTGCACGACCAAAGGGATCCATAATGTTACAAAGTCAATAATACGATAAGATCGTTGCAAAGT